TGGGGGAGAAGTAGGAGGAGGAGGAGGAGGAGGAGGAGGAGGAGGAGGAGGGATAAGGAGGAGGAGTATGAGGAGGAGGAGGAGGAGGAGGGGGAGGAGGAGGAGGAGGAAGTAGAGGAGGAGGAGGAGGAGGAATGGACAGGAAGGAGGAGGAGGAGGAGGAGCAGCAGAGGAGGAGGAGGAGGAGAAGAGGAGGAGGAGGAGGAGGAGGAAAGAGAGGAGAGAGGAGAGGAGGAGGAAGGGCCCGCGGCCGACCGAGGGGGAGGGAGGAAGGAGTGAGAATGAGGAGGAAGGAGGAGAATGAGTGATGAGGAGGAGGAGGAGGAGGAGGAAGAGGAGGAGGAGGAGGAGGAGAAGGAGGAGGAGGAGGGGGAGGAGAGAGGATGGAGAATGAGGAGGTGGAGCAGTAGGTGGAGCAGTAGCAGGAGGAGGTTGAGCAGCAGGAGGAGGAAGAGGAGGAGCAGGAGAAGGAGGAGGAGGAGGAGGAGGAGGAAAAGGAGGAGGAGCAGCAGCAGCAGGAGGAGGAGGAGGGTCCGCGCCGATCGGCAAACCAAGGAATACAAGAACACGATCGCGAGACTCCCGGGCGAACGCTTGCGCGCCTGGTGCCCGCCACCGGGCCGCCCGCCCCTTTTCCGCCGCCGCCGGCACATGTGGGCGGGGGACGCGCCGGCGGAGCGGCGCACGTAGCTCGCCACGGGCGGCCCGCGGCGATCGGGGGCTCGGCGAGCGGGCCGAAGACCGGCGAGCCCAAATCGGGGGCGCGCAACCATGGTTTAGCGATCCATGGATTTGGCACGCGGTCGCCAAATCCATGGATCGGGGGAGGTGCCCTCCCCAAAATGCGGCCAGTGCCGCCTCGCTCGGCGGCGGAAATCCGCGATTTATCCTGAAAACGGGACTCGTCGCTAATCCACGCCCCCTTAATCCATGTTTGCGATTGCCTGACCAAAGTGGTCCGTACAGGTGTCGGAAGCAACTTAGCAACACTCATGCGGAACATCTGGCTTGGACTCGCCCCCCGTCCCCCCAAATGCAGTGTTGGTTTTGGATATTATTCCGATCTTGGGGCTCCGAATGTTCTTCAAGGACCGGGCCAACTTTCCCAGTGGTGCTTGCTGGGCTCGGCGAACGGGCCGAAGTAGAGAGCAGAAAACACAGAAAACCCACCCTCAGAAGAATTACCCCGACACGCGACGTCGTTTATAGTAAACGCACCAAGGGAAGGAATCAAACAGGGCAGGGCTGCTAGTAAACGCCTAAGGCCGTCTAGTAAACGCCAGCAATCGGGTCTGGGTGCTTCTTCCTCCCCTGACGAAGGCCAGTGAGCCCAAAGTGCTCCGTGTTTCAGCGTCTTTGGCTGCACGCGCGATGAGAAACCAGTCTCTTTGGCGGCGAGCGAGGGGGGGAAGCGAGAGGGAGGAGGCCTTCTCAGAAACTTCGGAAGTCCCCTGGCCTCCTGATGAGTCTTCTGGGCCTTCCCGAAGACGCAAAACAAATTCGAGAAGGCGCGAGGGCTTCTGAGAAGTCCCGCCGCCTCTGAGAACACTCACTCACTCACTCATGGCGGCTGAAGGGTACTCCCGAGGCCATGCACACCTTTCCTGCCCCTCCCCCGCATTGGGGGAGGGGGGGCCCATTAGGGAAAAGGTGAGACAAAGGGTAGAACAGCAGGACGAGGACAAAGGGGAGGAGGTCGAGGAGGTAGAGGAGGAGCACGAGGCCTTCTCCTTGTCATTCCACCCCCTCGCTCGCCGCCGGTTCCTGTCGAGGCCCGTGGGGCACGTGCTCCGCCGATCTGCCCTCTCGTGGAATGCCCCCCCCAGGAGTGCCGGTGGGTCCACGCGGCCCGTCGAGGGCAGCTGCAGTCCCGATCGGACCACCAGGCGGCAGACTGGCGTCATCATCTGATGTGCCAGCGTCAGGTCGGGCATGTCCCTCTACGGGCGGATTTTGGACGAAAACTTGAAAGCAATCAACACAGACTCAAAAAGAGTCAGAAATAATCAAAAAATCGTCCCCAGACTATTTTTGTTACTATCTTGGAATAGTCTTCCTGTACAGGGACACGCCCGGCTTAATGCCAGCGGTGGGTCAACCCTGGACTGAAGGAGCACGAAAAGATCACGCACAAGCTGTCTGAGGTCCGCGCCCTTTCCTTTGGTCGGCGCCGGACCCCCGCTCCTCGAATTTGTGGGGGGATCGACTGCAGAATTGCTTTACTCCAAAAGTGTGATTTTCTCGTCCAACCCAGGAGAGACATGCATAGAATAAGTCCGTAGATCTGCGGGAGCATTGTAGGCATGTTTCGTAGATTCAACGGGAAATCCATTTTGGGGGCATATCGATTGTGTGGTCGACCCCCTACACGAGAGATGCTACATCCCTGCGCGAAGCTTAACGCAACTTTTTCCCGCGCCGCGTCGGCACCCCCAGACCCCAAATTTCAATGTGGATGCCGAAACACGCGACTTGACTTTTTCCGTCCGCGTCCGCAGACCACGCCGAGCGCGCACCTGAACATTGAAATTGGAGGCGCGGGGTGAGTGGGAAAACTTGCGTTGAGTTACGCGGAGGGTTGTAGCTCAGCATCTCTAGAGTAGGGCCCCCACCCCCTCAATAAGGGGGGGGCCCCCGATCTCGCTGGCCGCATGGACGCGCAGCACTGCTCCCAGTTCCGCCGCAGCTCCCGCGGCTGCCCTGGGCCGCCAGCGCGCAGCGCCTGCGCCTGCCGGAGGATGACGGTGAGGCTGGTGATGCGGAAGGCGTCCGCCGGGACCTCGCTGCCGTCCTGGGGCATGCACACGGCGGCTGGGCGGCGTCGATCCTCGGTCATCGGCCCTCGATCCTCCTGCTCCTCCTTCTCCTCCTCCTCCTCCTCCTCCTCCTCCTCCTCCTCCTCCTCCTCTTCCTTCTCCTTAAATAAAACTTCTCCCTGTCGCACCCCGAGGCCAGTTTTTAGGGCGGGCCGGGCGTTTCGCCTGAGACTCCCTCACCATTCATGACTTTGAAGCTTACAACATGGCAACAGTTTCACAGATGGAGGGCGGGCCGTTTTCAAAATGTGGCTCTCGCCTTAGCGCCGCGCACATTCGTCTTAAACATTTGCAAGCGTTTCACGGATTGGGGGCGAGGTAGTTTTCAAAGTGTGGCTCTCGCCTTATCACCCCGCAGTTTCGCGTATTGAGGGCGGCTCCTTTACAACATGTGGCTCTCGCCTCAGCACCGCGCACATTCGTTCATATAATTTGCAAGAGTAACACGGATTCCATGATCAGCGTACCAGACATGGTGTTTTGGCAGGATTCGAGCTTATGAGGGCGCACAAGTCATGTTGATTCGCGGTATTCAAGTCCCAAGAATGGCGTTCTGGCACGATTAGGGATCGCCACGGCGCAATAGTCAGGTTGATCCGTGGCGTTGGAATCCCGAGAACAATATTTTGGCATGTTTCAGGGTCTTCAAACAGTTGTCTTCCAACGAGGCAATTCCCTCGGTGAAAATGAAGCGTGTTAGGGGCCTATGAAGAGGGAGCTTGGGGGGAGGGTTTATTCCAACATCGTTGATGCCTCTTGGGTTTACACTGGTCCGCCTCCGTCTCCTCCTCCTCATCATCATCATCACCACCATCATCATCATCATCATCATCATCATCATCATCATCATCATCATCATCATCCTCATCCTCATCCTCATCCTCATCCTCGATCCACATCCTCGTCCTCATCCTCCTCCTCCACCTCCTCCTCCTCCTCTGCGTCCTTCTCCTCCTCCTCCTCCTCCAACTCCTCCTGCTCCTCCTCCTGCTCCTCCTCCTGCTCCTCCTCCTCCTCCTCTTCCTCGTCCTCCTCCTCCTCCTCCCCCTCCTCCTTCTCGTCCTTCTCATCCTCCTCCTCCTCGTCCTTCTCCTCCTCCTCCTCCTCCTCCTCCTCCTCTCCTCTCCTCCTCCTCCTCTTCCTCCTCCTCCTGCTCCTCCTCCTCCCTTCTCCTCCTCCTCCTCCTCCTCCTCCTCCTCCTCCTCCTCCTCCTCCTCCTCCTCCTCCTCCTCGATCACCGATACTCCTCGCATCTCCTCGTCCCTGACTCCAGATCCGCCCTACTTTGAACAATTTCGCAAGCAAATAAGAAACTGCAGCCCGACCTTTCATCTGATGTCGACTTCCGCCCTGCATTGCCGTCACTGTTTCCGACATACCCTTGCGAAAATATTCGTCTCACCTTGCTGAGGCGGAAACTTCAACCCTACTTTTTTGCATCGTTTGGGGTGCATGTTCGACACAACTTGAAATCGGGAAATCAACCAAAGTACGGCGGAGCCGGAGCCAGGGGAGGCGGGGATATCTCCATATTCACAGCCCAGGGAATCAACGTTCTTGGACCCCAGCGGGCGGTGGACATGGAGATGCTGCGGCCCCAGGGAGCCCGAATGTATCCATATCTACCGCCTGCCGAGGTCCTTGAAGATCGATCCCCCAGGCGGTGGTCATGTCTCAATCTCCGCCTCGTACACACACAAACACACACACTCACACACACACACGAAACTAACCTGGTCTTACGCGCGATGGCATTGCGACCTTGCGCGGTGGCTTACGCGGGCCGCCAGCGCGGCACGATACACTGGAAAGGATGGCGTTTTTTGCGCGGCCCTACGCGGGTACCTTGCGCGCGAATGTCGGCGCAGTCGACCCCGTTTGCTTCCGCCATTCACGTGGGAACCCTATCCCTGCTGGTCAGACTTCTGAGAAACCGGTTGGGGGTCAGGATTCGAAGGATGCCCGCAGCCAGGCGAACCCCAGCGGGGGTGTCCGATACCCCAGCCTCGATGGGAGCCGGAGGGGTTTTGGTGTGCAGGTGGTCGCAGCGTCCTTGCACGTGTACGAGAACAGCACGCTGGTATCTGTCTTGGGGAACCTCTTGGCGGCGCGCTCAAGAGGGTGGCGCGAGGGGGGCGGATGGGCCAACGAGGCGGCAGGCCTCTGAGGCCGGGGCCTTCTCTGAAGGCCCCCCCGGCCTCCCAGAAGGCCTCCGAGAAGGCCTCCGGGCCCTTCTAAGAAGGCCCCTTCTCGGGGGCTGCTGAAGGTGCCCCTGGCCCAAGGTGCTCCGAGCTTTTCGTCCCACGGTGGAGCCCCTGGGGCCCTCTGGGCCTCGTGGGGGGTGCTCCGGAGGCCGCGGGGGCCTCCTTTGGAATCCTGGGGGCACCTTGGGCCAGGGGCACTCCTAGCAGCCCCCGGCCTTCTCAGATACCCGTCCCTCTCGCGCCACGCCCGCGTGCGCGCCGCCGGAACCTCGGGTCGTGGCTGTCGAGCAGCCGGACCATCCCGCGGGCCATGGCGTCCACGTACTTCTCGTGCCAGTGCCGCCTGCGGGCAAACGCGATCATGGTGTTCTGGAAGTTCCGCGGCGCGAGGGAGCGCAGCCGGTTGGGCCTCACGCACTCTGAGGCGGTCCCCTCGAAGTAGCGGTCGTGGCTGACGCCGCACTGCGAGAAGTTCCAGACCATCGTTCCCAGCGAGCAGCGGTCGCACATGGGGATCTGGCCTCTGCTCAGCATGTGATCGCCTACGCTCTGCATGAAGCTGGGCAGCACGACCCCTGCTCTCGAGAACGTCCAGACGAAACCCGCTGCCGTGCTCCCTCGCACGCTGAGGCCCGGTAGAATGAGCGCCAAGTGCTGCCTGGTAGGGTCTCTGTACGGTGGGGGCCGGTCCACAAGCAACCTTCCACAGGAAACCCAACCCTGAGACCCCAGGACGTCCATTGAGTTTTGGCGTGGGAGCGTCGCGCTTTCCACCGCAAAACCATCGAAGCCCAGGAAACCCAGGGCACCCTGGAGGCAGGCAGGGTGCTCCTTGGCATGGGCCTCCACTGGAAGTCTTCAGAGGGACCCCCCCCCCTCCCGGTCACGCAGTGGTGCCTGCATCGTCTCCCCCGCAGCCCCCCCCCTCCCCGAGGCTCCCTGGGCGACACGATGCCTCCGCAGGGCTGCCCAAGGCTCGCCAAGGCTTGCAAGGGGGCCCAGGAAGGCGCCACCGAGGCCGCCAAGATGGCCGACCATTGCCTCAAGAGGCACCCAAAATCCTTGAGAAGATCCCAAGATGCGCCAAAAGGGCAACAAGAGAAGGCCAAGAGACCATCTGGGAAGGCCAACATCATTCAAAATCGCACGGGAAACCCTCCAGTTATCGTTTATTGTTCGTTTCGTGGGCGTCTCGGCTCAAGACGGTTCCAAGAGGGCCTCGGAGCCAGAGGGAAGACAAAAGAGCCACAGGAGGGCTCCAGAAGGCCCCCCAGACCCCAGACAGGCCCCAAGACGGCCCCCAGAGGGCCCCCAAAGCTCCCCAACACAACCCCTGGAAACCTCCCAGGACGGCAGAGATGTGGGCCCAGGGCGGCACAAAGAGCGCCCAAGAGAGCCCCAAAGAGGGCCCCGAGAAGGCCCCACATGAGCCCAAGACAGCCCCCAAGACGGCCGAGGTGGCCCACATGAGAGTCCTCGGGGACATGAGACGGGAGGTGACACACGTCACGACCTTCTGGGCGGAGGCCGACGCGTGGCCACACCGAGTGGCGCGCCGCGCCGGCACGGCGGCGAGACTTGCCGCAGGTAGCTGCATACGTGAGACTGATTGGGTGCATCCTCTGCATCCTTTGCATCAGCAGCTTCGCCGCGGCATGAAAGAACGCGTCCGATGCGAACATCGCGCGAGTTGCCCCCTGGTCTGCGTGGAAGAAGCTGCTCGCGCCGCCCCTGTCCTCGCCCTTGCCCTTGCCCTTGCCCGCCCTTTCCCTGCCCATGCCCCCGAAAAACCAGAAGGTGAGGTGCTGGTAGTCGTGCCACGACAGCACCCTGGGCAGGAACCGCTCGTACTCCGCGACCGCCCGCCTGGCCAGCTCGTCTGGCTCGAGGCCGAGGTCGTCCCCGAGCCCCTCGCTGAGCGCCCCCTTCAGCTCCCTTACCTGTAAGAGCAAAGCCACCGCACAGGCAGAAACTTCTGGAGCTCCACGCGATCTATCTCGGGTCAGCGCTGGCCCCGCCCCCCTCCCCGCTTCGCGCGCCGTGGGCGGCAACGTCACGGGGCCACGGCGCCGACCCGAGAAATCTACGCCGCGGACCTCCGGAAGGTTCTGCTTGCGCCGTTTCTGTTCTCTTCGATCGCCGTCATCTCCCAGACTGGGCCATCGCCCCGCAGCTCCTCATCCGCGGGAGGCATGCCCGTACAACAGGCAAAACAACTCGGACTACCTCCGAAACCGCCCCCACCCAGCCCGAAGCCGTCCTTGGACCTATCAAGTTCCAGCTGGGGGAAGCTCTGGATCATGGGAGAAACACCATGGCACCCGCACGCCCCCAAATCCGAATGTCGGAGGGGCCTGGGGCCTTGAGATTGGGTGGGGGTGGTCTGGGAAGCAGTGAAACGAAGAAACCCGCGCGCCAGCACGTGCCCCACGGAAACTTCTTGTCCCCCGATTCGGGGGCGGCCAAGAGGGTGGCGTCCAAGAGGGGGGAGGCGCAAATCATGACCGGCGGCATGTGCGCAGACCAAAGGGGGGGGCTGGCCAAGGACGTAATGGAAGAAGCCCCCCCAAAATCAAAGAACTTCGAATAATTATCAATGAACAATGTGTAAATCGGTATCGGAACTGCACTCCTGACGATGGGAAAAAATAACCGGAAATTTCCGCCTCTGAACAATAGGGCGGCTATGTCTGCAAACAAATGGCAGAAACAGCGACTGCCAAGTATGGCGGAAATCAACATCAGAGGAGCTTGATAACAAAGGGCGGACATTTCAGCCCTACTTGCGAAATCGCCCCAAGTAGGTCGGATCCAGAGTCAGGATAACCTAAGCTTACCCCCCTGGGGGCGCCTGCGACCGCGGGAGACCGCTTGGGAACGCCTAGGACCGCCCCCGAGTGCATGGGAGCGCCTGCGTCTGGGAGCGCCTGACAGCGCTGGAGAGGGCCTGGGGAACGCCTGGGGGCGCCTTGGAACGCTTGGGAGCGCTGGGGGGCGCTTCGGAGCTCTTCGGGGCGCATGCCCCCCCCCGACGCTGCCCCCTGCGCAGCTCCTCCAGCCCGTCCGGCTCGAGCTCTCCCGGCGGCAGCTCGGGCCCCCCGCAGCAGTCGGCGGGGCGCTCGAATGTCAGAGCGCCGCTGATCGGGTGGAACCAGTACGGCTCGGCGTTCACCTGCGGGTGCGACCTTCGGCCGCACGCAACGAGCGGCCCCAGAAGGGAGGAGCAAAAATGGCACGAGCAGAAACTCTCGGAAGTCCGCGCGGATGTCTTGGATCGGCGCCAGGCCCCCCACCCAGGCGCCCGGAGCGCGCCAGGGGCGGCGCCTGAGGCGCCGCCAGGGGGTGCCCAATGCCGCGGACCTCCGAGAACTTATGCTTATGCCAGCTTCCGTCTTCGACAGAAGCCATCGAACTCCACCTTCTGCGCCCTCCGCGCGGCAGGGTGGAGATGATGATGATGATGATGATGATGATGATGATGATGATGATGAGGAGGAGGAGGAGG